AAAGTACAAAGTCGAGAACTTAGTTCCTAACCGAGTATCAGAGGGTTGTGGTATTTGGAGGATAGTCGGTAGGCTAATCCCATAGGTGTCTTAGTTAAGCTAGCTAATGTCGTGGTAGGCCTAAATCCAGTTGTTCTATCCTGACATAGAACTATACTTCCTTGTTTAACTGGAAAATCTGAGAAATCGTGAAGTTGTGGATTGATATCCAAATTTGTTTTTTACCTAGCAAGCCCAAAAAGGTTTTGTGGTGTCGGTTCGGTAAGACGTAGCCACTTAGACTGCTCACCCATATTGTAGGAGATCTCCGAGTTGAAATGTCTGACGACGCATAAGTTGTTGATGAGTTGAATTGGTGTTGATATGAGTTGTATATATATATATATATATATTTGTTGTGTTGTGAAGCTGTGATTGAGTTGTGTGTTGCCACGTGTTGTATGTTGACCCTGTTGAGAATGATGATAGTGTTGTTATGTTGAAAGTTGCTTAATTGATTATATGTTGATTCTTTTCACTAGCTTACCCTTGCATGTTTCCATGTAGTTTGGACTGCAATGATCATACTATGTATGGGAACAGAGCAGAGATATGTTGGAGTTGAGCACTAGAGCAGCCAGTGATGCTCGAAGTTAGATGTTCTTTTGTAGTCTCCCGGTTGTGGGTAGACATTTTGCTTTTATATATATATGTGTGGGTGTGTATGTATGTATGTATATATATATATATATATATATATATATATATATATGAGATGTTCTTACATATATTATATTACTGGCTTCAGTATATATTTATATGTGTGATTAGTGTTGTGTCGTGAAATGAGACGGCCATGGTGAGTCGTTATATATGATGCTCTCTAGAATAATCATGCTCAACATAATTACAGTCACGTCTAGCAAAATCAATTGCAGGTTTCTAAAATTATTATCACTTGACCGACCCTAATGATTATTAAAAGAAATTGTTTAGATTTTGTTCCGGCCAAAAGGTGGACTAGGGTTTTTTCCTAGGTCAAGCCTCAAAGCCAGAGCATTCAAGAGTGTAATCTGCCTTCTCAACTCTAGGGTTTTGGGTTTTATGGTACGTCGTTCATGGGCCTCTTGGGCCCCGAGAATGAAGGGATTTTCCTAATCGTTCTTATCACTAGGGCACGGGGTTAGCGGGGCTGAGTCTAGTCGGGTTATGACCGACTGGTTCCATACTGAGGGTCCAGTCGGGTTACGACCGACTGGGTCTATACCGAGGGTCCAGTCGGGTAAATGCCGGGTAATAAGAGGAATCGAGTTTGCAGGTCGAGTCGGATTGTGACCGACTATGTCTTCCAGGTCGGATTGCGATCTGGACGGCACACTTACCTTCCAGCCTTGAGCCTATGAGGCGTAAAGGCTAAAGTAGTTGCTCCCTTCGAATGTTCTCGGCAATAGGCCGACATTGCCTATCGGGAAAAAGCCGAGACAGTACAGATTTAAAGACATATTTAATATTTTTTCAATCAACTATTTTCTAAGCCTTTACGAATTCTCTCGACTTTCCCCCTTCCCTAATTTCATGCTTTGACCGACTCTATGCGAAACCTTACATATTCTCCACTTTGATTTCCGTTCCCCTAGCTGTAAACGCATGCATCCCTTCTATAACTTGAAAGGATCTTCACTGCTTCCATTTATTTATTATTCAATTCATGAGTGTAGAGAATGTTTCCAATGTCAGATAGGATTAGCTGTCTTCCGGACACTCTTCTCATCCACATTCTCTTACTCTTGCCGATCAAAGAAGCTGTTGCCACAAGTGTTCTCGCTAAGAGGTGGAGGCCTCTATGGCTCTCTCTCCCCACTCTTCACTTCAACGACCAAAACTATTTGCAAAACAAAGATACTTATTCCCGTTTTCTTCAGTTGGTATACACAGTTATGCTACTGCGAGATGCGTCACAACCCATCCAAAGTTTTAATCTCGAGTGTGAGTCTCCTCTTTGTAACACTTTTATTGTCAACGCATGGGTAACGGCTGCTATACAACTCAAAGTTGAGTGTCTCAGCCTCTCGCTGTCCTCAACGGTGAACTTGCCCAGTTGCATTCTCACTAGCACAAACCTTGTGGTTCTCAACTTAAAAGGGTTAACTGTGAAGAGTGTTTCTTCTGTTAGTTTACCTTCACTTAAAACACTACACTTGAGATGGGTTCGTTTCCTTGAACGGAAATTTCTTTTTGAAGTTCTTTCTTCATGTCCAGTTCTTGAGGATCTACTCATGAGCTTTGTGCTTTTAACTAAACAATCTTTGGGTGGACAGATAAAATCGTTACCAAAATTGATCAAAGCAGATATTTCTGAGTGTGATTTTACTATTCCTATCGCAGAATTTTACAAGGCGGAGTTCTTGCGCATTGAAGTGGTACGTATATATATGTACTATAATGAGTAATGAGATTAATTTGTAATATGTTTTACTTCATTCTTAGAAAAACAATTGGGAAATGACATGCCATTGTTTTCTCTTGCGATGAATGCATGCAGGGATGGAGTTTTTTTCTTCATCGGTCTGGTTGTTGCGGTTTTTCCGAAACCACTTTTTCCCATTTAACCTACTTGGATCTTATCTTTGAGTATAATTATAACTGGGGTTTGATAATTAAATTGCTGCATCGATGCCCTAATCTTCAAGTTCTTGTAATTGACCAGGTTTGTGGAGCCTGTATGAAGATGATTAATATTTTTTTCTGACAATTTTCTTCTTTTATGTTTTATGGTTGACTGTTTTTGCAGAAATATTTTGGCACCATAAATAGTTGGGAAGTCTTCTGTTAGTTTACCTTCACTTAAAACACTACACTTGAGATGGGTTCGTTTCCTTGAACGGAAATTTCTTTTTGAAGTTCTTTCTTCATGTCCAGTTCTTGAGGATCTACTCATGAGCTTTGTGCTTTTAACTAAACAATCTTTGGGTGGACAGATAAAATCGTTACCAAAATTGATCAAAGCAGATATTTCTGAGTGTGATTTTACTATTCCTATCGCAGAATTTTACAAGGCGGAGTTCTTGCGCATTGAAGTGGTACGTATATATATGTACTATAATGAGTAATGAGATTAATTTGTAATATGTTTTACTTCATTCTTAGAAAAACAATTGGGAAATGACATGCCATTGTTTTCTCTTGCGATGAATGCATGCAGGGATGGAGTTTTTTTCTTCATCGGTCTGGTTGTTGCGGTTTTTCCGAAACCACTTTTTCCCATTTAACCTACTTGGATCTTATCTTTGAGTATAATTATAACTGGGGTTTGATAATTAAATTGCTGCATCGATGCCCTAATCTTCAAGTTCTTGTAATTGACCAGGTTTGTGGAGCCTGTATGAAGATGATTAATATTTTTTTCTGACAATTTTCTTCTTTTATGTTTTATGGTTGACTGTTTTTGCAGAAATATTTTGGCACCATAAATAGTTGGGAAGAAAGTTGGGTATATCCGCAATCTGTTCCCAACTGCCTTTCATCACAACTTAAAAGATGCTCTCTCAAAAACTATGATGGAAGGCAACATGAAGTTGGATTTGCAAAATATATTATGCAGAACGCAAGAGTTTTATATGACCTGACAATTCAGAGTAGATCTTCAGATTTGGAAATTAAGTTCCGAATGATTAAAGATTTATCAACATGTCCAAGGATTTCAGCTACGTGCGAAATTAATTTCCTTTGAATGATAGTGTTAGATTCGGGTCTTATGCAGCAGTTATTATTAGTGAATATGTGCTTTTTGATTAGTTTTTCAATGTGTTGCTTTATAGAACTTGTTGTCTTTGGGTTCAATTAAATATTGATACGATGTGTGCTGTGCATTCAAGTAAAGCTCTTTTCATTATTGTAAGTGTTTATGATCCTTCTAACAAGCGCTTATGTTACAATGCTACCGTGACAGAAACACAAACGTCTAGGTTTTGATTTCTAGCTGTCATGTCTGTGCCTCCACCAAATTGGTCCATACAAAAAGAAGTTTAAAATATATTCATATATCAATAATTAGCATCACCCACATTGGTAGTGTAACCTTTGCAAATTGTCTTTACAAGTTTTTCACTATAGTGTTGTAGGAAGGCTGAATCATACACATGTAATCAAGCCTATGAAGTTTTTAGACACTGAACTATGAAGGTTATCTGTGATTAGTAACTTCAAATTTAAACAGAAAGAAGGCATGCATTTTATTTTATGATGGGAAAATCAGAATTTTTAAGTCTCTTCCACTTTGGAAAAGCTGAACCTAAGTTCTTTATACAAGGTTTTAAATATAATCGACCTGCAATGCCAATGCAGTCTGCAACAAAATGGTGTTGGAGCACAGCGATACTGATTGCAATTCGAGATACAGAATATGGCGGCACCAGGCATAACGAAACTGTTCTTGCCGGAGCTCAATTAATTTTTCTTTTCCTTCAAAAATCCCATTTGAAAACCCATCATTTTTAGAAAATATGTTCCTAAAATTGAGAATAATCTTATGAGTACTTTTCTAAAAATACTTGTACAAAAAGAAAATAAGAATAATTTACCAAAAAAAGAAAATAAAAATATAAAGAAAAAATTAAATAAATTTATCTGAAAATAAATTTTATAAAAATAAATGTTTTACATATATAATAAAAAAAAATTATAATAAATAAATATTTTTGACCATATAGATTGCATTTGAATTTTATGATAAATAATTTATATTTTGATACAAATTTATTTTTATCCAATGATAATTTTTTTGACAAATGTTAAAATTTTATTTAAAAATTAAAAGGATAGGTAAAAAGATAAAGATTCACCCTTGTATATTTTAGGATTTTTTTTAATGAGAATGTTTAGACAATTTTATGTATATTTTTTATTTATTGATATTTATTTTTTAAATAAATTTAATTTATAAATTATTGTGATAAATAAAAATGGAAATAGATAAGAATTTTTTTAAAAAAAATCCTAAAATGAAAAGAGCTCTTAAGGATAGGATATGTGTATCTAGTGATCCTAAACTCAAGAATGATAATAGGATAAGAGTATAGGAGTAAAGTTAATTTTCACCTCGGAACACTGAAATATACTAGGACCTTAGGAATATATTTTGGTGGGCTAGAGATATAGTTGAGTTTGTAAATAATGTCTGCCTAGTGTGTTAGAAAGCCAAAATAGAGCATGAGAAGCCTTCAATTGCAACTTTTGATCGTACGTGACTGTGAGTGGAAGTGAGATATAATACTTCTATGAACTTTGTGGTAGAATTGCCTAAGATTGCAAGAATGTTGGATTCCATTTGGCGTTACAGTGGATAAATTGACTAAATATGTTCACTTCTCCCTATTAACATCAAGTATTCCCTAGATAAATCAACCAATATTTACATTGATGAAATTGTTAGATTAAATGGTGTACCTTTTAATACCATTTTTAATAGGGATCCCAGATTTACCAAATCTTAGGAACTAAGCTTAGTTTAAGTTTAGCTTATTATCCACAAACTGATAGTCAGACTAAGACAACATTCAATCATTAGAGGACCTACTTAAAGCTTGTGTTTTAGAACAAAGGGATAATTGGGATAGTTTCATACTTTTAATAGGATTCACTTATAATAATAACTATCATTTCAGTATCGGGATGACACCCTATAAAACTTTATATGGGAGGAGGTTTAGGACCCCTTGTGTTGCTGTAAACTTTGGTGAGAACCTTGTGTTGGTGTAAATTTTTTCAGTATTTTTTTCTCCTAAACATTTCCACCAAAATATTCAATATATTATATAGAATTAAAATTAAAATTATTATTATTATTATTATTATTATTATTATTATTATAATAATATAACACTTTAATATAGGAAACTTTAACAGCATCATAAAACATTCTGTAGGAAAAAATATGTAATCAATTATCGAGTTTTTATACCAGTCACAATATATGACTAATAATTATAAATAAATATTATTACTGATAATTTATAACTATTTATTGTTAATAATTAAAGCACACAAATATGTAAAAAAAAATGAAACTCAAATAACAAATTCAAAATTCAAGTTACATATTTTATGAAAATAAAAAAATATATTTAATACAGATAATGAAAAGATATTAATACAAATAATGATATTATCCAAAAATCCATAATCATTACAAAAAGTATAATAAATTAATAGATATTTTTTAATTAATTATCCATTTTATAAATATCAAAGACATAATATCACTAATAATTATATATAAAAGAGTTTCTTATCATATATGTGAAAGTTACATATTATGGTTTATATACAATAATATAAACTTTTTAGTGAAGAATTCATATTAATAAAAGTAATTTAATTTTTGAACAAAATTTAAAATATTAATTTTAAAAATAAAAATAATTTAAATTTTTTCACAAAATAAAATATTATTTTAAAACTTATTTCTTTCAAAATTTATGTAAAAAAATATAAATATTTTGATGTATATAAAACAAGCAATTTTTCGTGTATTTTATTTACTTAAAATCTCCACCAAAATATTTGACATATATTATATAGAGTTAAAAATATAATAATAATAATAATTATTATTATTATATAATATATTAAGATATTAATATGAAAAATTGTAACGGTATCATAAAATATTAATTCCGTTAATTATTATGGTTTTAAAGTAATTATAATGAAAAAATCTTATCATTTGATTAAAATCAATTATTCAGTTAAATTTTTTGTAAAATATTTATATCAACAAAACATTCAACATATTATAAAAAATAAAAGTTAAAATTACTATAATTATTATATAAGACATTAATATGATAATCTAAATGCAATATTTTATTAAAAAAATAAAAATATTTTGATGTCTATAAAAAGAACAGTTTTCACAATACTTTTTATCCTAAAAGTCCCCATCAAACCTTTCAACATATATTGGTGGTATTTATTTGATTTTTTTAATTGACCTATAATTTTTTTAATGTTTTTTTATATGAAAATTTTTGTTCGTGCATATCATAAGAATACTAAATTTATCCCTTGATGACTCTTTAAATTTCAAAAGAAAAAAATAGTTGACAATTTATAAATTTATAAGATCTGTCATTGATTCATATTTTTATCAAATGAGAAATTAAAAAAATATAAATCAAATCAATCCATTGCAAGTAAATAAAATTAAAATACATTAAGATCAACAATGAAAAAAAAAAACGTAACAGACTTTTAACTATGTAAATCATCCAAGATATAATATATTTTATTTTGAGAACAATTTAAGAAAAAGTTACATATTTTTATATAAATTAAGATTAAGTATAAAAAATTATTTCTCTTTAATTATAATGAATATATAAAGATTAAAAATTACTATCCATATCAAGTTATATTTAAACCTTTTTATTTTATAACATTATCTTGAAAAACGTTAAAAATTAATTTTTAAAATTTTAATTATTAATCAAGACATTCATTTTGTTTTGAAAAAGTTTGAGTGAAAATTTACACTCTTTTATATCTAAATTTACATTAAATAGAACAAATATTTCACCTTAATTATAGTGAATATATAATATTGAAAAAAAAATAGATTATCTTTAAACATTTTAAAGAATCAATTTCTTAAAGTTTAATTAATAATTAAGATGATTGTTAGAAGACAATAAGATTATTTTTAGCTGCTAAAAATAATAATATTTTAAATTATACTAATTGAATGATACTTATATTCATATTTATTTTAAAATTTATATAATAAAATATTAATAAAACATATATAGAAATATGATGATACCATATTAACACTATCTAAGTGTATTTTTTTAGTGAATGCATAAACAAGTGTTATAATCATTTTAGGAGAAAGATATAAAATATTTAATTAACAAATTGAATGGATAAAATATACAAAAAAATTATAATAGAGTAAAATAAGTATTGAATTAATTGCATTGATTTTATTTTAAAAATGCACAATTATAGTATTGCTTAATAAAAAGTAATGAAGTTAATTTGTGTAGGTAAAATAAAATTAACTTTTAAATTATAATATTATTTTTTATAAAGAAATTAAAATGCGATTTTAACCATAATTATCTAGACATATACAATATAAATGTCTCAAATTATACAACTATCATGATAAAAAATGATAAAAAAAGATGTTAGATATTATATTACACAAAATCAAAATGATTTGTGCTTTCAAGGGTACTTATCTAATTATGCTTAATGAAAACCCTCTACTCAACATGCTAATATAATTATATAAAATAAAAGAAACAATAAAGAAATTCGAAATAAATTTTAATAAATAGAAAATTATTCACAAATTCCCTCGAATAGAGATACCCTAAATGAAAAAAGAACCAAAATCAAAAAGTGCTAAAAGAGGAGTATAAAAAGGTCAGTAAAACTAAGAATATCTAAAAAGATAACCAAAATCCCTACGATTATACCGATAGTGGTTACCGCTAACCACATTAATCCTATAAGAAACTTATATCAATCTAATATGTAAATATTGTGATATATATATATATGAGAAATAAGTAATTTTTAATTACGCACGTTTTTATAAATATTTTTAGAATAGTATGTAATTTAATTATAAGCTAACTATTTATAAACAAGTTCACAAAATCTTCCTTTATTTTTACTTATAATATTATTAAGGATATACTTGTGTTAACAATCTATAAAATA